GGTGGTGCAGGCGGGGAAACGGGCCCGCTGGCCGCACAGTGTGTGTGTGTTTTCCGTGCTGGGTGCCCTGCGGGCGATGACACTCGCCCCGAATTGCCCTGCGCCAGTAAGTGGTCTGTGGCGCGACTCTGGACGGGCGCACGTGGCCGGCGTCGGGGCTGCGTCCTCGTGTTTCCGTCTTGCTCTGCAGCGCAGCGCGTCCAGTAGCGGGTTATGCTGCAAAGTGCACATCAGTTTTGCCCAGTTCTTCTTGTCGCCTCACAGTGAATAAATCTTGTGGGTTTTTGTTGCTGTTCATCCTCACCGGCGGTATTTTCCCACTGATGTTTAGGGAGCGTGGCAGAGGGAGAGACAGGAACACGTCGTTGGTTGCTTCCTGCATGGGGCCCTGGGCTGGGGCAGGGGGAGAGCCTGCAACCAAGGTAGAGCCCTTGACCAGCACAGAACCGGGACCCTTTGGTCCACAGGCCGACGCTCTAGCCACTGAGCCAAACCAGCGAGGGCAGCGGTCGGCAAACCGCGGCTCTTTGGCCCCTTGAGTGTGGCTCTTCCACAAAATAGCACGTGCTGGCGCATGTACAGTGCAAAAGTTGACTTAAAACTTTAAGTAAAGTTTGTTAAGTTAATTTTAGGGAATGTTGTGGAGTGAAAGAAGATGTAGTGTCGAGGATTGAGAAAGGTATGCTGAGATGGTTTGGACATATAGAGAGAATGAACGAAAGGAGATAGACGAAACAAGTATACAAGACGAGTGTGAATGGGAGAGTTGGAAGGGGTCAACCTCGGCAAACGTACCTCAATCAGATTGAGGACGTTTTTTAGCAAAGGCCAGCTTAGGAGCACCCTAATTCAGTTAATAACAATGTACCTACCTATATAGTTTAAGTTTAAAAAATTTGGCCCTCAAAAGAAATTTCAATCGTTGTACTGTTGATATTTGGCTCTGTTGACTAATGAGTTTGCCGACCAATGAGCTAGGGCCACAGTGGAAGAAGCTTAACCATCAGACGCTTCGGGAGTTAGGCCCGTTTTTCACTCATTAGAAAACGTGCTTTGGAAAAGGGACATTCTCGGAGCAGTGGTTCTCGCAGTTGGCAGAGGGGTTTTTATGGATATACTTGAAAATGCAAAGAAAAGGTTAGTGCATGCTGGAAGTCAGTCCATCCTTGCTGCTTGACACAGTCGCTGCAGGGAAGAAACATCTGCACAGCATATGTTTCAAGGGACCTGGCGTATATGGCATACTGTTCTTAATATGTTTGCTCCCCTTCTTAGCGCTATGTGTTTTAACCAAGGTCACCTCTCCGAGAAAGGTTGTTTCCCCAGGTGGGGATTTTTCCCTGGAGTTAGGGATTAACAGGACTAAGGAAGGGAATAAGTCAGTAAAACCCCTTAACTAAGTGCCAGGCGGGTAGTTAATCACTTTAACAACGAGCAATCACGCTTAAGCTACATAATCTTTACTTAGGATAATCTCCTTCAGTTACTTCCTTGTAGCTTAACAGAACAATAGAGTAGTGATCTTGGAATGGAGATAACAAACACCCTAACCTTTGGAATAGAATGGATAGGATTAAAATCAACTGGTATAAATACAGATGTAACAGGAGAATAAAGGGAGAACCTAGCTAGAGAACCTGGCTAGGCTGCTGATCAACTGAACGCTGTCTCCGTCCACACCTTTGGGAACCCCTGGACCTGCTGGGGTTGGACCCCAACAAGTGCATATGTGCATGTAGAAAACCAGTCTGCCTGTGATATCAGGGTGTTTCTGAACACTCCCGGAAATCCTATCCACGGACCCCTGTGTGAGGGACTCCTTACTAGACCCTGGGTTGAACAAAGGTATAAAGGTTCTAAAAATAATAAAAGGTGTCCCCCACTCGGGATGTATGAGAAAAAGTCAGATTTATTCCCTGCCATTATGTTTACTTTCCCTAAGACCAGGAATC